TGTTCTTGTTAAAAACATATATTTAATTTTTCTCTGATTAATAAATCAGATATCCATAATTCTGGATTTATTAATATCCATTTTCCATTATTAGATGCATCTTTGCATCTATTAACTATCTTTTCATAATATCCTGTATCAATCTTTTTCTTTTTAAGTTCTGTTATTATCTTTTCAGCTCTTTCAGTTATTATGTCAATTCTTTCTGAATTATATTCAATATTTCTTAATGTATTTTCTACATAAGTATTTTTCCAGAAATTTATATTTCTTCTCATTTTGTCACATTCACTTACTAGTTCTTTTAAATCTCTTGTCATACTTTTAACAAAGTTGAATGGTCTTTGTTCTTTATATTGATTCATCACACCTTAGATATTCAAGTCCTTCAAAATTTATATCACTTGTGTTCAAGGTACTATCTCGTACCTGTCGTTCTAACTGATTTACTTTATCAGTTAAACTATCAATCTTAGATATGACTTGTAGCATAAGTTCATTATTATTTGTACTAGATCCGCTTTCAGAGGGATCTGGAATAGCAATCTTTGTTCTTTCTTTCTTGTATCGTCTCTTGATCTTTTCTTTTATACTTCCAATGTTATGTAAAACATCAGATCTATTCTCAGAAGGTCCATACTTGGCCTTTATCTTGTCTGTAAATTCTTGGATATCAAGTAATAGCTCTTTTGTATCTGTAATACTCATCTGTTTCTTAGATGATTGATTAGTATTCTTAGGTTTATATTCAGTTCTATATTTTCCTCTGACGGAGATCCTCCGCATGGTACTGTCTTCTGTATCTGAACTGCTTTCCATGATCAGATCAGGGGTTCGTATAACTAAATTAATGGTTCCTCGCTTAAAGCTTCACCAAAAATCTTGGTTAATCGAAACCTTCTCGATCTAGATCTTAAAGATCTTTGACCTGCTGTATTATCTTTTTAAGCTTTTCAGCTTTATCTTGTCTTACTGGGAGGATATCACCCCACCAGTTATCTTTCGTAGCATATGTCTTAGCTTCGTTCAGATCTATTTCATAGATCTTAGCTAGCTTTTCAAGTTCTTGAATAGCACTAACCTTTTGAGAATTCTTCATAGAAGATTTAATTCTGTCGATTGCATGAATCGTTTCCATATTCTTAGGTAGCTGTTGTTCATTCATACACACTTCATAGCACATAACGTCTATATGCTGTTCTTCTTTGTTTGTGTTCATATTTGTTTGTTCTTCGCTGTGGGTTATGGGTCCACCGCTGCTTCCTGCAAAATTCATCTTAAATCTAGACATATCTTAAAGACATACCTGGTTTTCATCGCGTAGAACGATAATCTCTAACTCTCTGCTAGCCTTTGCTCCAATCCTAGCCCGTGATCTCACAGTCGGCTTCCAGATTCCAGGAACCTTCAGCTCAGAAGTTAGCAGATCTTGTGTTTTAGCGATGTTGTTGGTATTATGTATTATCAAGATTTCTATCATAGCTATGAATAAGAAGAGAGAATAGTAAAAGACTATCATTTTGATTGATATGAAAATAGGGAATACAAAGTAGTGTGGAAGACCTCTCAGGGTTCGACCATTAAATAGGAAACAAAAGGCCTATATAAAGGCGCTTATTTGAAAACGTAAAGTAAAAGCAAAGGTCACATCGGACCTTGCGTACACGCAACTCCTATCTTACATTCTAAGCAACCTCGGTATCGTCTTCCATACGATCATCTAGAGGTTCTTCAGCATTTGAGGGACCACCCTCGTCCATATCCATAGCACCTTCTTCCGGAAGCTCTCTCAGGAGTGCCTTCCTGGTATATTCCGAGATCAGAATATTGTCTATATGCATCTTTTCTCTCCATTCGTGGAATGTCTTCAGGTCTGCTTCTGTGATGAATGCAGGTGCCCATGCATAGAATAGCACATTTTTAAAGTCATAATAGATCCTGAGTTTATCAGTATCTCTAAAATTTGACAATGTAAATGTCATTTCATCAATTAAATCTGCTCGTAGAGCAGCTAATTGCCATGTGGTGAAGACTCCGTCTCCTCTAGCAGCTTGTACCATATCAGGCATAATGTAGTCCTTACTGACTACTCCACCTTTAATCAGATGATAGGCTGGATATCTGACATCTCCTGCCCAATCTGGAATTGTTGATATCATAGAGAAGTAGCAATCTCTTTTGAATTTGACGATCTGAGATCGTCTAACATAGTCACGAACTTTTTCTCTGAATTGTTTGGAAAATCCACTCAATTCATCAAGTTCATAAGTGGTGTAGACAGTATCAAGGATCCCTGCTCTGTAGAGATCATAGACAAGTTTGGGTTCACAACCCTTCATAGTGACAACTTTCATCTTATCCTTTCGGATTATTGGATATGCCTTGTTGCCTTTCTCTTGGAAGGTCTTGGCATTTTCGAACAAAATGTTCCATTCTGCCATAGACATGACCTCTTCCTGGACAAGGCCCATAACTTTCTCAGTTATGCCTCTTTCTATCCATCGATCCATCCTTTGGACCAATTTTGGGGCCTTAGCTTTGCGGGCTTCCTCCGCCTTCTTTGCTGTTTGCAGTGTTCGTTCTGCCTCGAACATAGAACTAGCTTCAGTGTAGGAAGTTGCTGGCACTCCCTGGATATCTGCATAGTTGTGGTAGATACCCATCTTTGGACCAGTTGTTACCACCAAGATCTTGCTTCTTGATGCTTCTGGTGCTGGTAGCTTTACCGCTTCAGCCGGAATTGAACTAGCTTGCATATGTAGGATTTCAAGCTCTTTTTTCAAATTTTCGACTTGCTGCTCAGCTCGTCGGATTTCTAGCTCCTTTCTGGCAATCTGGACTCCTATCGGTTCCATTGTGATAGCTCTCTTGTTAATGTATCTGCTAAGATGTTTTTATCTCCAGCTATGTGTTCTACCTTGAATTTATAGTAGTTGAACCATTGTTGCCAACGAATCAATCTACCTTGCTTGTAATCTATATCTTTCACATTATTTCTTAGGAACGGTCCAAATTGTGCGTTATCTGTCCTTACCAAGAATTCCTTGCTTATTAAGTAAATTCTAAATTTTGAAATTCCTTTCTTTACCGCTAAAAATTCTTTGTCATTACTATGATAGTTTAATTCAGCTCCTTGAAATGTTCCTGACGTATATCTACATAATTTTTCTTCATTATCTTTTGTTTTTGCTTTTAAAACTGCGCTCCAGTATTCTCCAGAGGCATCTGTTTCTAATATCATATCGTCATCCTCACTTGGATGGTATAGCGTAGGTAATACTTCTAGCTTCTTTTTGACTTTATCAACATAGCGTGTGTCTTCGTCTGTCCAGACGAATATGACATCTTTCTTTAGCTTCTGTTGTAAGGGTTTCCTGATTTCTGATAATTTTTGTATGTATCCTTCTACATAGTTAAGGATTCCTAAAAATCTTTGTAACTGTTTTTTATCCGTTATCCTGGATGGAAATAATGCTATTTTACTAATAATATGTGACTGCATCATAATTTTACCATCTTCTATTTCGAATCCTAAGAAATTTATCCTTTTTTGAGCTATCTTAGCTTTCTTTTCACTAAGAATTATTCCTTCTTTAAGACATTGCTTTAACAGCATAGCAACATGTTCATAATGTTCAATCTCATTATCGGAAAATACAATAATATCATCAACATAAACAGTACATACTTTACTAAGTATGTTATTAGCGTCTCTTAATTTAAGAGCGTTATCCATTCTTCTTTGGAACATACCGGGGGCTTGTTTTAGCCCGAATGGTACTACATTCCATTCGAATTGCCCATTTGGACAACTGAAGGCTGTTAGCTTTCTTGATTCTTCTTTAAGGGGGACTTGCCAGAAACCGGACTTACAGTCAAATGTACTATACCATGTTTTTCCTTTTATCATACTTAATAATTCTTCTCTTTTAGGGAGATAATAACCATCATCTATAGTATACTTATTTAATTCCTTATAATTTATAACCATTCGTTTCTTTTTTCGTCTTTTTTCAGCTTCATTTTCTACCAGGAATGCTGGCGAACTATGAGGGCTGTGACTTGGTCTTATTAATTTTAGTTCGAGCAGTTCAGCTATCTGTTTTTTGAACTCAGCTCTATCTTCTACTGTATAATGCATAGGTTTTACCCTAATTATTATAGTGGGATCAATCAATTGTAATTCAGCATGTTTAGTTATATCATTGATTGCTTTATTAATAAGATGATCAAGTGGGTTTTCACTTGTTACTTTCTTAAGTGCCTTATTACAATCATCCAATGTAGCATATATTTTTTCATGTATTTCGAAGATATTTTCAAGTCTACTTCTTACTTTGTTATATCTTTTTGTGTTATTAGAATTCATTACTTCTAATTCTTGATCAAGATAATCATTTTGTTTAGGAATTTTATTTTGTGCAATATTTGTTTTAGGAACTACCTCACCACGTTTTCGCGGTTTTGCGTAGGTGTATAACAGATCTTTTGAAGCATATGAATATGCTTTATCAATTTTATCAATTAATACATTTTTTAATCTAATCCATTTAACACTTTGTTCAAATGGTAGATTATTTAATATAAAATTATTACCAATTAACAAGTCAACTCCAGTTGCTTGCTGATATATCTCTTTGAAGAAGAATTCCTCCCCTGAAATATGTACTTTAATATTTCTTGCTATTTTATCAAGATATATCATTTCTCCATTTGCAATTTGTGCTTTTTTACCTTGAGTTGTTGTTTCCCATACTTCTTCTGGAATTACATATTTATTAGCACAACATATACTAGCTCCAGTATCTACATATCCATGTAGATGGTAAGCTCTATATCCTTTAAATTTTAACTGAACCTTAATATAAATACTATTTGGGTTCGTTATATTGGCCATCTGGCAAATAATGTTTCCATTCTTCATTATACTGAGTATTAGCATAATTATCCATATAAGCTTCTTTGTAATATTCATCTCTATCAGAGATATAGCCTTCTTCATCTATATCTGTTTCATTGTCTGATTCAGAGTCCGGATC